AGTCGATTCTTACGACATGCTTTTGGGCAGACAGTGGGTGTATTATTTCTTTCCCCACAATGGGGCCCAGAACCTACACGAGGAGGCCTTGAAATGATATTACAAAGGACTGAGCCTACACGGGGAGACCCTGAAACGATATTACAAAGGACTAAGAAATGTTCACAGATACTATATTAACGTACAGTCGTTTCATTCTAGAACTAAATAGCGTCCTTAAATGTAATAAGTTGATGTAGTTCTGCCTGAGAGGCAAGGAGATAACAGCTGTACACAAATAAGTCGCATGTTTACAACGGATGTGATCGCAAAGCTCAAGTTCTAGATAAAGACCAAAACCCAGGAGTGGACGAACAAACAGAACTTTATTGTTCATTGATTAGAACTTCTCCTTCGTTGCATAAAAAAATGTTAGTTGCGTATCCTTTACAGGACATTGCAGAACCAATCCCAGCATTGTTTGTCTGTTGTGGTTTTTCTAGGAAAATTTTTGTTTCTCTAGGCAAATTAACGTCCAGTAGTTTGCCATTGCTCTCTGGACGGTCGGCTTCTCGATACCACTGTCGAAACCAACGCAAGCGGACAAGACTCACAGCTGAAATCGAACCCAGCATCCCGGCATTATTGTTTGTTTGTTTTAGTATCCAGAAGCCATGAGTTGTTAACCCTTAGGTCTTTGAATTATGGATATCGCAACCTTAAGGCCTTGATTCCATTTTAAATACCGTAAATCAGGGAGAAATGTGGCTTTTCTGCCCACTCCGGGAGTGAACCCGGACCACAAGGAATTCGTCACCCGCTCACCGCGCAATCCGGTTTAGCTAACTACGCTAGAGAGCCGGGCACCCCGGCATTACGAAGCAACGCCTAAGCCAGAGACGTCGACTTCAGTGTAGAAGATAGTGTTATATTGTGCTATATTTTTTATATCGAAAGATGAGATCGTTATCTACCTCTAATTTGTTTATCCTCTGTCATTATCTCTCTGCCCCCCCCCCCCCTCCCACACCCCACCCCACTTTCTTTCAAAACATAATTTTGCACCAGACCTCGCTCCATTCATATTCCGTTTGCAAACATAATTGTTGCAGTAGTAGAGGTTGCCCCCGATATCTTCTACCCTTTTGGATTTGACTACAGACGATATCCTTGGCCACTTTACCATCCTCCGTGCTTCAAGTGTCATAGAGAGCCGAGCATTTAGAGACTGAGCACTGGGAAAACTGTTGTAATACCAGCCCTCTTTTTATCGAGTCTTCTCTTGTCACCTGATGCCAATCTCTCTCTCTCTCTTTCTTTCTCTCTCTCTCTCTCTCTCTCTCTCTCTCTCTCTCTCTCTCTCTCTCTCTCTCTCCCTCTTTCTCTCTCTCTCTCTCCATATCTCCCTCTGTCTCACACACACACACACACACTCTAATTCACACACCCTCTTTATCTCTCTCTCTCTCTCACACACACACGCATAACTCTCTCACGCATATGTACAGACAGGTACCAAGACATGCAATAAGGAAACCAACCGGCAGATAATTAAGGCGCGGAGGGGGGAACAGTAATGGATCCTTTTACACGACAAAAGATTAATTGAGTACACGATACTATTCCCATTACAGGATGCTATCCTGTTGGATGATGCTGTTCTCATTACATGATGCTGTTCCAGTTACATAATGCTATTCCCATTAGATTATGCTATTTTACATGATGCCATTCCCATTACATAATGAAATTACCATTACATGATGCCATTTCCATTACACGATGTCATTCCCATTACATGATGCCACTCCTATTACATGATGCCATTTTCAGTACGTGATACCATTCCCATTACATGATTCTATTCCATGCAAACAATGTCATTCCCATTAAATGATGATATTCCCATTACACGATGCCATTCCATTTCCATTACATGATTCTATTCCCATTACATGATGCTATTCCTCTAGTTTCATAGACGAATGGAACTCTGTGGCCGATATAGTCACTATTACATGTCTGCCTTTAATCCCCAGACAATTTCCTGTTTCACATTTAGTCTGGGGTCGACCTACCAGCACGCCAGCTTTAAAAAACAATTTTTTGACACATGAAAATGAAGAAGTTAAATTGAAATAGCACATGTGTCCTTCTCTTCCTCTTTCTCCTCCTCATCGTTACTCCACTGGCCTCATCTCCTGCCGCTAACTCCAGCTGATGTCATACAGCGTGTTCACATAGTATCGATCGTCTTTCCATCTGGCATCTCTGTATTTTGCCCAACCTGTCACGACCAATCTCCCTGCACAACCACCTCTTCCCCAACTCATGCCAGCAACGACTCGACACACCGCTGGAACCTGGTTGATTTCATCGATTATTGGTTCCAGCCTCCTTGTCATTATTCGGACGGCCATCTTAGTTCTTGTCTTCAGCGACTGTCAACGTTCAGTTCAAGACCAGTATTTCCATCATCTGTCGTGTTTTCTTCTGCGGTAAGTACAGCCAAATTGTTTATGTAGGTATCGTTTATCTTATGACTGTGAATTCAGTTTCTTGAGGCAGAATATTTAAAAGAGAATTTGCTTGCTCCTCGTCCTCCTGCTCTTCTTCTTCTTCTTCTTCTTCTTCTTCTTCTTCTTCTTCTTCTTCTTCTTCTTCTTCTTCTTCTTCTTCTTCTTCTTCTTCTTCTTCTTCTTCTTCTTCTTCTTCTTCTTCTTCTTCTTCTTCTTCTTCTTCTTCTTCTTCTTCTTCTTCATCATCATCATCATCATCATCATCATCATCATCAGCATCATCATCATGATCATTATCATCATCATATTCTTCTTCATCATCATCTTCTTTTTCTTCTTCGCTTGTTCTTCTTTGTTCGCTATTAAAAAGGCGGTTGGCATGCTGTGTTGCGGTTTACAGCTTGATATGATATCTACACCTTTCAATCCATCACATCTGATTAAAGAAACCGAAAACCTAATTAGTCATCTTGCACGACATGCTCGTTAGAGAAGACTCAATGAACGCTATACATTTGCTGTAATTAGATATGCAGTGATTTCCCCCCCCCCCCCCCCCTCTCTCTCTCTCTCTCTCCATCTCTCTCTGTCTAGGCCGATTTATGTATGTATTGGCTGAGCGGTTAATGATTATTATTAGTCATCGCTAGTGTATTACTATTGTTAGAACCTAGAAAATGTGAATGCAACCCCTGATGGCTGGCAGAATACATTTTTCAAGCAATGTTACCCTACCACACGTATGCATCTCTTTCTGAAACCGTCCCTTGGGTGCACCTTTCTACGGCAGTCATGAATTTTAGTAATACAGTGAGATAGAATTTTGGCTACGGGACACCAGTAGCACACATATATCTTCGTGTAGGGAGTCGGAAGTCCGAAATCCAAGTTCAAGGTGTCTCCTTCGTGCCAAAGAACTGCATGGCTGTTGGGTAAACAGTCGTTAACGAAGGCAGTCAGGTCGTTGTTGGGGCAAGGCTTGCTGGTGGATGTAATGTCCTAATTCCCTTCCCCAGCTAATAGTAGGGTACTGCTGGGGTGACCGTTTATTAACCCTCACATAATGCTTCAGGTCCAAATGGACACTAGGCACTGCCACTGTTTTGAGCCAGGGCAAAAATTTTTGCTTCTGCCAGACTGTGGCCGTTGCTTTTTTGCTCCATTTGTAGACTGAAAGTATATAGTTTCGTTGCCCAGCCTCTGAGTTGAGTGCATGGCGTGACACTGTGAGCTGCGGATTTCATTTTGAATGTTTTTAGACTGACCAACGTGGTGGTGTGATTTGTAGATTCAGAAAATGGCGCAATGCCGGTTGTCGCAATATTGGTGGGGACATTATTTGATTAAAATTGATCGCGTGTGCAACTGCTGATCTTTTAATGACTTCTGCTACCATCAATGATGAACTGCATTTCTAACGTTGGACTGTTTCTGTTAGCACTTCTGATGGCTACCATATGCTTTTAATGCGAGTGTATGCTAGATTTGCTGAGAGAGCAGTTTGTCAGTCTTTCCAAAACTACATCAACTTAAACATTCTGTGTGTTTTTCGTTGGCACAGGAGCGGAGCAAAGATGGGGTGACCCGTTTGCAATGAAGCTGAAATTAAAATTACCAGATTACCAGATTACCAGAGCAATGCCTCCCCCCTCACCCCCCCCCCACCTCTCAAAAATATATATATAATATATATAAATAAATTTCTAGTTGGCTATTATATATTATGTATTAATATCACAACTGACGTCAGTTAACTGCCCATTGGGCATTCCCATGCCTGCTCAGTACTCCAATACATATATATTGTTTGTTGATGAGTAAATTTTGATGAGTTTTCTACCATTATATTTTTATTTATCATGAAACATTGTAAGAACGTGCAATGTTTCTGTGACAGCCAATGTGTGAGCCAAGAGTCCAGTTGCAGTCTCTGAAGAAGACCATCGAGATATTTGAACTCGTTTATATGATTACTGTTGATTAAGATAAAAATAATGAAGACATTATAAAACATTGACGGAACTCGGCTCTTTTTCAGCATCAGATTTCACCCCCTCCCCAACTCTCCAAGTTGTGAAAGGTAATATTATGATCCACGCCGTTTGATGTGGATTATTATATCTCTTCATATCCTACATTTGTTTTAAAAACAGAGAATGTATAAATGTTGCTCAAAATTGTCCAGCACCATTCACTATCGAAAGCTGCTTTCACTAAACATCTATCGCATCAAAATGTGTTTTCTTCAGATATTTGTGTGTGCATCATGTTTATTTGCCATTCAGCACATTATTTTAATGCTATTATTATCATGTTTATTGTTTAGTAATTAAACAATGATTATGCCTCTTGATGCTCCCACCACCAAGAAAATGTGTATATGCACATCATCAAAATGTTTTCTTTGTTTTGGCCCTTGCTCAGCTATGTCCTTTCTCTAAAATGGCCTAGAGAATATGTATGGATTGTCCAATAATTGTATTTCAATGACCTCCGCAGATCATGATCTCCATACTCGCCCTCTGTCCCCTACTGCTGGCCGGTGTCTTGGCCAGTTATGACCCTTACATCGACATGGATGAACTCTACCGTATGCAGCTTCTAGCTAACGCCTTTGACGACTACAGCCCAGACAACCAATTGCTGAACAGCAGGAGTTTGGATGACGAATCCTATTGGCCAGACCTGAGTGACGCTGCCAACAACAAGGCGTCCATTTACAACGATCCTCTCTACAGTGGTGCTCATCAGAGGGACCAGGAGCATATTGAGCATAGCGACCTCCACGGGTTTCAGTCTGTTTCAGGTACCTATAAACATATAATATATTCATACTTAAAAAAATGTGTACTGTTTGTGAGTGCACCAGGCAATTTTGACAATGACGTATACACACCGGAACCTACAAATCGAATACCTTTCTTAAATGTTTTTGTTTTCTAGACAAAGCATTAAGGTCTGCTGTGTTCGTAAATTGTTGCTGTGATTGTTATTCGACATATGCTTTGTTAATTTAAATTTCTGAAACCTATGGTGCCATTTCAATGGTTTGAAATGAATTATGTCCATATTCCATAGTTGTGGATTTCAAGCTGTACGATAGACATGGCCAATAAAACACCCTTTTTTGGGGGTGCCTAGTTGACCATGTTCCTAGTGCACTTGTATCCATGGCGAGGCGCACACGCCGTCTGGAGGTGACAGGTTTAATTCCCGGCACGGTAACTATAGCTTTCTAGTGTGTTCTTCTATCTTTCTACTTCTTTCTATGAGTGCCGATCAATACACTTTCGGTTGTTTGATTAATTCAGTAGGTTGCTGTTTGACGATCGGCCCAGTCGAAACCAACGCAAGACGGTCTGCTGCCAAATCGCCCGCAATTGAGATCCAACCAAGCACCTTGGGTGTGCGAAGCGCATACGCAACGCCTAAGCTACAGAAGCTGACATATTCAAATTACAACTACCATAACTGGGATAAAGGTGCATGCAGTCACTTGACGACTTCCATAACAGTCACTTGACGACTTCCATAACAGTCACTTGACGACTTCCATAACAGTCACTTGACGACTTCCATAACAGTCACTTGACGACTTCCATAACAGTCACTTGACGACTTCCATAACAGTCACTTGACGACTTCCATAACAGTCACTTGACGACTTCCATAACAGTCACTTGACGACTTCCATAACTCATACACCCCAGTGTCGGTTCCGGGCCCCAAAAGGAGAGAGGGAGGCAGGGAGGGGGGAGATAGATTCATTGCTCCCTAACAAGGACGTCTTAAAAGGCGACTAATAAATGGTGCTTTCTTTAAAGTCGCAGTTCAAAGACCCGAGAGCCGAGAAACTAACAGTCTGCATAAAATTAAACAGATATGTAAAACGGAAGTGCACACAAAACCAAAGTTATGGAACGAGATTGAAGTTCAGAAGTTGACCAACAAACAGACGTTTCCCCCGAGTGAACTCTAAGAAAAAGAAGAAGAAGCAGGAGAAGCGATCATGTTTTTGTACAGTCCAGTAATGACATGCTGATATTATCCCACCGTATAAAATGCTCGTGTTTCCTTTACAGTCCTTACTCGTGCGGGACTGCAGTGAAAATGTGGGTAGGACCTGGTGTAATTGTTACATGTGTTCTAACTACTTTGGAGTTTGAACAAAGTAACTAGTGTTCGCTCTGCTGGTTTGCCACCCAGGATGTGACACTTGAAGTCGTAACAGTGGTCACACCTTCAGGTGCGTGCATGCCGCTTGTCCTCTCTGGGCTGCCACCTGAAAAGTTTCACGCCCTTCAAATCAGAGGATTTGAATCTTGAAGGTAGACCAACGGGACTTAAGGGCACCTTATGGCTAAACAAGTCTCAGTGCTGGTGGCAGACCAACAGGGCAAATCCAGATACCTTGTTAAACATCCAAGTAAGACGTGATAAGAGCTTGAAAATAGGACGGAATTAAGCCTGTGACCATAAGTGCATGTACCTCAACACATGAAACATTAGTTGCATATCCTTTACAGACCATTGTAGAACCAACCCCCGCTTATTTTGACCATTTGTGATTTCACTAGACGATTTTAAGTTCTGTAGTCTGTCATTTCTACTGAGGTTTGATGTTTGAGGTTTGAACAACGGATCTATACTACTGTATAGACCAATGCAAGACGGTCTACTGCCAAATCCCCCACAGCTAGAGTCGAACCGTCCACATTAGAATTGTGAAGTATGTTCACAAAGCCTAAGCCACAGACACCAACAACATATCCATATATTACGGCTCACTTAGCTCTATGAATTTACATGTTGCAGATACAGACACACACAGACACACGCGAGCGCAAACACTAACACATACTGCTTGAAAGGCGAGGAACCAACAGTCTGCATATTAATAAACCAGACCAGTACAACGGATCTGCACGCAATAATCAAGTTCTGGGCAAAATCAAAATCAAGAGGTGGGCAGATAACCTGAACTTAACAAAATAACAATCAC